TTCATGACCCAATTTGGGGTTATCTTGGTAGAAGCACTGTAGTGGTTTGCCATTTCCTTCTCTAGCTCACTTCACAGATGAGGAAATTAAGACAAACAGGGTTAAGTGACTTAGCCAGGGCCATACAGCTAGTAAGTGTCTGAGGCTAGATTTGAACTCAGGTCTTTCTGACTCCAGACCTGGTGCGCTACCCACTGTTCCGCCTAGCTGCCCCAACATTTATGTAGGATATTTAAATATTATCTCGTTTAATATCCAAAAGAACATGTGAAATACTAAGATGAGACACATTTTACAGATGGGGAAACTGAGGCTAAAAGAAGCTAAACAATTTTCCCAGGGCCATAGCTATTAAATATCTGAGGGGCAATTCAAACTTGACTCTCTAATTCCAAGTACTGCATGCTACCCACACCCCGCCAACTAGTGGCTTCATTTAGATTGTCCCTAATTTGCCCAGCTAAGGGCTCAGTCCTGGCACTTCCTACCAGAAGCTTTCCAGGATGCTGTATATCCACGGCAATGAAGAAATGTCACTGCCACCATCTTTTTGCCCCTCCACATCCATTGTCAATGGAAAACAAACAAAATATTTATTAATAATGGTAATAATAAATATTTTACATTTTTTTATATCATACAAAGTGTTTTTAACTCACAATACCTTTGAGATAATCAAAGCAGAAGGCATTATTCATGCTCTTGAGAGATAAATCTGTTGAGATTCGGAGAGGTTAAGTGCTTTTTTTCAAAGTCACAAAGGTAGTAAGTCACAGAGTCAGGACTAGGTGCTTTTAAAAAATACTACTGATAGATTGCTTTTACCTGATCTAAAGTACAGCTGAAGTAGGAGGATCTGTTCTGAGACTTCTCTTGGGTTTCAAGGTAGGTTCAACTCCTATAGAGAAGGTATTTTTACCTGTATCTAGGAATGGTCATCAACAGAGAAAGCCCAGTCCACTGAGGAACCTGTTAAATATACCTTCTTATCCAGGTCTGGATCTTGCTGTCTTCAGAAGAGGAGGCAGGCCTAATGAAAATTTGCTTTGATTTGATAGGTTGATACCAGGATATTGGGGAAGGAGAGATTCTGACAGAGACTAGTTTACCTAGACTTTCCTCACCTTTTTTCAGATTATATAGGCCAGTTATTGTTCATTTGTTCACAGACAGATTAACAGAAGAGTCCAAATAAATGGTTAAAAAAAATTAGCAGACTATTTTCAAGAGAGAAAAGACAAATTGTTCCTAATAATTGAAAAAATGTTCAATGTCTCTAATAACAGTAACTAGAGATATAAATAAGAATAAATAAGAATACTTCACACCAATTAAGCTAAAAGAAAATAAAAGCAATGTGACTCATTGGTGGTAGGATTATGGAGAAACACATAGACATTCATTCCTACTGGTATCACAAATTAGTGGAATTTTTTTTTTAAAACAGGCTGGCAATACACCAAAGAATTATCATACCTTTTGATCCAATAGTTCCATTTCTGAGAATATGCCTTAAATGTGTCATCAAAAAAAGAGGGAGGTGCTATTTAGCCAAAGATTTTCATAGCAGAATTGCTTATAATTGGGGGGAAAAAAACAAGCAGTCTAAATGTCCAATAATAGGGTAAAGGTTAAATAAACTGTCATAGAATAATGTAATGGAATACTATCATGCAATTAATACTGACAAATATGAAGAATATAAAGAAATTTGGAAATTTTAAAGAATAATGGAAAGTAAAAAAAAATGAACTTCAATAGCAGAGTATTCACTAACTCTGACTATATGTAAAATAAGAATATTGTTGAGATATTATTTGTGCCATTAAAAAAGACATTTTTTATTTTTTGAAAGTATTGTCCAAATATCTCTAAGTCCATATAAGTACATGATTATTACTAACTATTCAACATGCATTTAATAAGTCCCAGCTGTGTGCCAGGCTCTATAATAATAATAATGGCTAACATTCACATATGATGTTAAGACTTACAAAGTGCTTTAAGTAAATAACCTTAGGTGATCCTCTCAATAGGCAGCTAGATGGCTCATTGGAGAGAGCACTGGACCTGGAGTCAGAAAGATCTGAACTCAAATCTCTCCTCAGATACTCCCTAGCTGTGGGACCCTGGGCAAAACAATTAACCCTGTTTGCCTTAATCCACTGGAGAGGAAAATGGCAAACTCCAGTATGTGTGCCAAGAAAACTCCATACTGGAGTCTCAAAGATCAGATACACCTGAATAACAGCAACAACAATGATCCTCACAACAGCCTGTGAGATAAGTACTGCAGGTAACATTACCCTTATTATGCAAATGTTAGGTTCAGAGAACTAAAACGACTTGCTCATAGTCACATAGCTAATAGTCATGTCAGACACATGGCAGAAACAAGATTCAAATCTAGTTATCTCCTTGCGTCAGGGCCAAAATTCTTCCTACAGTACCAGTTCTAGTAATGTGAGGATGCTGTGAGAATGTAGAAGATTATGTTCTTTGGAAATCTTGATTATTTCCACACTTAGGAAGTTACACAGAGGTGACCTTCATAATCCCCATGCAGATAG